GGACAGTGGGAAGACCTGCATTTGCATCATGTAGTTACTGCATTGAAGTGCTGCCTCTGGTGACCTTTTGGATATGTGAAGAGAAATGCATTATTAACAAAACTATAAGTGCATAGAATGTTACAGAGAAGGAGAAGGAGAAGGAGAAGGAGAGGGAGAGGGAGAAGGAGAGGGAAAGGGATATGGAGAAGGAGAGGGAAGAGGATAAGGAGAAGGAAAGGGAAAGGAAGAGGGAGAAGGAGTTGGAGAGGGAAAGGGAGAGGAAGGGAAGGAGAGAGGAAAGGGAGGAGGAGGAGAAGGGAAGAGAGAAGGAGGAGAAGGAGAAGGAGGAGGAAAGGAAAGGGAAAGGGAAAAAAGGAGAGGGGAAAGGGAGAAGAGAGAATGAGGAGAGGGAAAGGGAGAAGGAGAGAATGAGGAGAGGGAGAAAAGGTGAAGGAGAAGGAGAGGGAAAGGGAGATAGATTATTATACATATAAATAAAAAAAAAAAAAAAAAAAAAAAAAAAAAAAAAAAAAAAAAAAAAAAAAAAAAAAAAAATATATTATATATATATATATATATATATATATATATTATATATTATATATATATATATATTATAAATTTTAAATGTATATAAATATAATCAATTATATGTATATATATATATATTATGTATATATAATATATATATATTATATTATATAATATATATTATATATATATATATATATATATTATATATATATACATATATACATACATACATACATGTGTGTGTGTGTGTGTGCATGTGTAAAAAATATATAAATATATATACATACACACATACATATATATACATAACATACATATATATAACATACATATGTGTGTGTGTGTGTGTGTGTGTGTGTGTGTGTGTGTGTGTGTGTGTGTGTGTGTGTGTGTGTGTGGTGTGTGTGGTGTGTGTGTGTGTGTGTGTTGTGTGTGTGTGTGTGTTGTTGTGTGTGTGTGTGTGTGTGTGTGTGGTGTGTGTGTGTGTGTGTGTGTGTGTGTGTGTGTGTGTGTGTGTGTGTGTGAAGCTCATCATGTCTAACAACATTCTGAGTACATTAGGAGTTTGATCTTTGAATAAAGATTTTCATCTTCTGGAATAAAAGGAAATCAAGGTATATAATTCTTTTCTCAAATTTGTTAATTATTTTCCAACATTTTGTTTAAATAGGTATATTTGTGTAAAAATGGATAAATAAATTATTAAAAAATATAAGAATCATATAACAAAAGCAAATAAATTGATAAGAACTGAATAATAGCAAAAATATACTCCTGAAGCCCAGAGAGGGTCACACTACGGAAGTGCCCATAATCATGGAGAATGACGCTTAACAGGTTAATACTAGTCTGCTACCAATTCAATTTGTTATTATTACTGTTATCATATGATGTCCATGCTTTGGACATCAATAACAGTGTTGGGAAGGAGGTACCCAGTGCATTACTAAAAATGAAATAAAGCATTGAAACAAGTCATCCAATCATATAATACCCTGGCCTAATGTTTAATGTTTGAAATAAATAAATGTGCTAGACATCAAAGGTCATATAGCACTATGGTAAAGTATTGTGTCAGAAAGGGCAAAGGAGAGTTAAGGATTACAATAAAATGTGTTAATGTCAAAGGTCTGAGAGCATTATAGGATAGTATGGTAGTGAAAAGGGGAAAAAGGGGGAGCAATTGAACTAGAGCAGTAATTAGTAGAAAGGGGAAGGTTAAAAATGTAGGGCAATTGAGTGAAATTATAGTGTATCTGTCACTGGAGAAGGTATAGGAAAAGTGTTCAAGGAAGAATATAGATGGCTGTTGGAAAAGTAGAAGAATCCGGGGAGAGGTGAAAGTGTTAGATGCCAAAGATTAGAGGGTGTTATAGGAAAGTATGGTAACGAAAAGGGAAAGGAGGGAAGTAAATGAAGTAGAGCAGGGATTAGGGGAAAGATTAAAATAGAGGAATGAATTGCATTGTATCTGTGATTGGGGAAGGAATAGGGACATTGTTCAAGGAAAATGAAAACAGAGGTGGCTGTTGGAGAAGGAGAAGATAGTAGTAGTCTTAGCAGTAGGACAAGCATTTGGGGGAATAGAAACAGTTCCAGTACAAGTATTTAGAGATGGGTGAGGTGTGGCAGGAATGGGTTTGCCAATAAGGTCAGTTAGGGTAGACAGTGCACAAGCTTGGGATTCAGATGTAACTATGACAAGGTGTGAATGATCAGAGTGACTGCAAAAGGTAACCTTGCCTACTTGTTTCTGGAGGCACTGTTGAAAGAGAAGGGTATTCTCAGAATAGGGGGTTGTGGGGGGAATAACAAAGAATCGATCCCACTTGGCTGGGCCAAGCAGATGAAGAGGAGAATATTGGAAAAGAGGAAGGGGTGCTTTCTAGAGGTTGAGTAATAACCTGGGTGGGTGTTTTGGAATGGTTAGAGTTGTCAAAAGAGGGGCAGGGGCCTGGAAACCATCAAAATCAAATTCAGATAGGCTATTGATGAAGGGGCTTTACCCTTTTAATGGTAAAGAATCTTCATTATTGGCCATGGTGAGCCTGAATAAAATAGGGAAAAGAAAGTTAAACACTCAGGGTACCCATATGGGGTATGGGTTAGGTAGTTAACCAAGGGTCTATCATGCCCATGGCTCCCAGAGGCTGTTCATGACAGACACAAAGCCAGCCTTTCATCCTTTCAGCATGGCTCGCACACCTTAGGAATGGAATAAAAGAAGGGAAGATACAGAAGAGGAAAGGAGAGAAGAAAAGACCAAGCAAAATTAGTTGTGGCAAGGGCTGAGGTCCAAGGTAGGGGTGATCCCTTATACTGGGCCTCAGTCTTCGTTTCCCACGACAACAACAAGTAAGGTATTGGGAGGGACCCTGGTCTAATTGTTGCATTATGTGTGGGCATCTGGCACATTACTGTCTTCAAAGCAAACTGCTATGTAAAATATAACATATGAAAATAATAATAATAATAATAATAATAATAATAATAGCTGGTAGCAATGGAAAAAAATTACCTTAAGTGGTAGCCAAATGCTGATTTTTTTTTGCAATGATGGACTGCCTTCACTGTCTCTGAAGACTGGAACTACCTTGTTTATTTTGAAGGTACAGGAACTGCAGTATCAGACAACAGGATGTGAAGTGGTTGCTTTAAGCACACCAGATGACCTTTCTCTTGTCTGTGTTATCAATCTGTAAGTTGCAAATATAATATCAAGCTCTGAACTGATACTCTATACAAAAGCATGTAAATATGTATGATATATAATATGATATATGCTTATATTTCAATATCTATACCTGTTTATCTATCTATAACCATATCTATATTTATTGTCTATCAATAAATACACATACACATATGTATATCTATATGTATCTATGTATATATATGTGTATATATATGTATTTATATGTATATGTATAGATAAGTATATATATATATATATATATATATTATATATATATATATATATAATATATATATATATATATAATATATATATATGTATATATATATATATATATATATATATATATATATATATATATATAATATATATATATGTATATATATATGTATATATATAATGTATATTATATATGTATATATATATATTATATATATATATATATATATATATATATATATGTATATATATATATATATGTTATATATATTGTATATATATGTATATATATATATATATATATATATATATATATATATATATATATATATATATATATAATATATATATATATATATATATATATATATATATATATATATATATATATATATATATATATATCACATACACACACACATCTATATCTATCTATTATATACATAATATACATACACCCAAACACATGCACACACATGCATATGTATATTACATATATATATATATATATATATATATATATATATATATATATATTATATATATATACATATATATGTATATATATATATATATATATATATATATATATATATATATATATATTATATATATATATATATATATATATATATATATATATATTATACACACACACACACACACACACATCTATATCTATCTATTTATATAATAATACATAAATACACCATGTACACACACACACACACAAACAATCTATAGCTATCTAGTTATGTACATGGTACATACTCCCACACACATTTATCCAACTATTCAAATAATAAAAATATATGTATCTAATTATAAACTCAAAAGTAAATACTTTTACACTAACACACATACTGTGCTTCAACTTTTGGTTCTATTACCCTCCTGAGTCTGAATTTGTCATTAATCTTAAAACATGAAATGTTTCATAGTGACAATACAGCTATAATCTTCCAGATTTTTAAATACTAATTCTACTTGAAGTTTCCAAAATATGATATGATCATTATTATAATAATGTAACATACATCAATAAATGAGAAAGGTTTGTGAAATAGTAAACACCTGTTTTGTGAAATATCATTAATGTTAAATCTGATTTTATTATGGGACTGAATTTCAAAATCAAGTCAATGGTAATGATTTCGGTTTAGTACAAATTTAGCCTTACCTGAATCCTCAATAATCAAGACCAGCAAGGTTTCATTTAGATACTAAAGCTTCTCTTGTATTTCTTTCTAGCTATTGCAGTGTCCATAAAAGATGAAGATCCTGAAGTTTTTACTTCTTAGTTTCCAGCTCTTCCAGTTACACTACTGATCTTTGATATATTCATATATATATATATATATATATATATATATATATATATATATATATATATATATATATATATATTTACATATATATACTGCCACTTTGGCAACACATCTCCCTCTGTGAACCTCTCTTAGCTGCCCAAGTCTTGAGAACATCCGTGACTGCAGCAGTAGTTCTTGGCAGATAAGTGGATGCATCATTTATGAATTTCATCTTCCTCTGATGGAGTTCATCTTACTTT